AAACCCTAAACCCTAAAGCCACTAATGAGCCTGTGAAGGGCTCCTCTCCGCAGAAGCGGCATTGCGCGTGCACGCCATCGGCCCAACACCCGGGCTTCTTCTTGTTCAACTTGCCTTGATTAAGGGGTTTTGGGTTTAGAGTTTTAGAGTTTTAGGGTTTAAGGTTCAACTTGCCTTTAAAAGGAGGATCTTTGGTAACCCCACCCCGGAAAACTAGGACCGCCTGAGTATCATGTGCTTAGGGTTGTCCACTTGACTTGTTTTATCCAGCTTAGGCTTTACGGTCTCCCTAAACCCTAAACCTTAAACCCTAAACTCTAAACCGTGTTTCTGTTTTCGAGCTTAGAATTCAGGGCTCTCCGCTGGAGCAGGGCTTAACCTCCAAGCGAACTTGGATACCCCAATACGGATTCCATGTTAGATAAGGTGAGGGTAGGATTTTACTGGGTTGCTGTTAAGGACCTTAAATAAGTTATCATCATGGGTATATACAGTAAATAATAGGGCTTCCCCAATATAGTAACTTAATTTAAGTTCCTTAACAGCAAGCCAGTTTAGGACTCAACTTGGATCGTGGCCCTTAAAGCTAAAGCTGCATACTCAACTGCAAGCTCCAAGATTTCGGTTCACTACTGGCAACTGAAAAAGCAATGGCGGTTACCTTCGCCCACAGCACTATTCCTGCAGCTAGAATCCCATGCGCATGGTTTGACATCCAGAGCCAACACGAAACTTATCACTCATCTTGATTTCTAGAAGCCATCATCCCGAATATTAGGCCGAAAATGGGCCCTCAAGCAATATAAGGGTATAAAGGGATATACATCACTATTCAGGGAGATATTGGGATATGTCAGTCTTAGGCAAAACTTTACCTTTGCGCCACAAGCGTCATCCTTGATCCCAGAAGAACGGCAGTACTGGAGTCTGCAGGAACGAACAGCGCTCCGCCGGAGAGAAATAGTGCGGAACACCTATGCAAATGGGTTTTTGAGGGTTGCTACTCAGGAAACTTAAGTTAAGTTTTGAAGCAGCAGTAGTTGGGACTGTGGTGGCAGTGATTGTTGATGTGGTCGCGGCGGTTGAGGTTGCCGTGAAGATCTGAAGACACAAGCCCAAAGTCCCAAACCCCACCACCCTAAGTACTAAAGGTCCTCAACCCTAAACCCTAAACCCTAAATCCTAAACCCAAAACCCTTGAACTCTCTGTTGTCCTTGATTCCAGGCCTGGTCTCGCTGGACTATGCCTAGGCTGGAGGAAGACTCAGAGAAAAAGGTTCAGTCAGTTTTTTGGAGGCTTCAGGGTTTAGGGGTTTAAGGGTTTAGGAGTTTAGATTTGAGTGGTTTAAGGTTCAAGGTTTAGGCTTTAGGGTTTTTTCATGGTTTAGGGGTTTGGCTACGGCTTATTGTGCTTAGGGTTTAGTTAGGGCTTAATTGGGTTCAGGCTACTTTTGGGATCGAGGGTTTAGGGTTTTGTTTTGGGGCTAATGCTTAGCTTAAATGGATTGCAGCCTATCGGTTAAGTATGACCTACTCAATCTACAGATTCAGTGGCGTTGAGCTTCCGTAGTGTGGCAAAACTGATGCAAGCAGTTGGGGCGGTGTAAAGGGGGGCCCAAAACTTTCAGACATGACCGGGCAGAACTATATCCACCATAACCCCTAAACCTTAGACGCCCGCAACATCAGGCACCACCTTGCGTCCTGCATCACGAGCTCTAGCCCTTACTCACCCCGAAATCCACACTAACTTCCTCTTACGATCTCTAAACCCTGAACCCAACCATAAACCCTCAACCCTCTTGTACCTAAAGATTGAATCCCAAACCCTACATAAACTGTGGAATGCTTCAAAGGCCTCATGCAAGGAAGACCCATAACCAAGGAAAGGCCTCCCCACAGCTCCCTAAAGTCCATAAGGTCCCTATTGGGGCTATATTGAGGCTATATAAGGATAACGGAAAACAAAATGGAAACTACTATATTCTAATAGGGGAAAATATATAAGCCATAATCTAAACTCCGCATGTTCGCATAACACATGCGGTCCCCTGCAAGGCTTCCTTTAAACGACCCTCCCTCTGCTACTTCGAGGGCTCAAGCAGAGGCGCTGAATTGAGAGTTCCTCTGTTAGGACCAATCTGAGCAAGACATCGATGAGCACCACCTGCCCAAGGCTTTTTAGGGCTTAGGGTGTTTGTGGGATTGGGCTCTGAGGCTCTGAGGGTCTGAGTCAGAGTCGAGGATAGCAGCAAGGACTGAGCTATCACAGAATAGTCCCGACGGAACGAGGCCCAGCATTCGTTCCCTAGAAGCCGGGTAATGTTTCCACATGCGGATTCCAAGAACCCTGAACCGAGAACCCTGAACCCTAAACTGCGTGGGGATGATTGTAATCCAGAAGACCCCAGACCTTAAAGCAATCTTCCGAATCCCGGGGCACTAAGACCGAAATCCCATATTAAACAGCATCCTAAAAACGCAGCCCGAACCCTGGAACATCCCAATGCCTAGATCTATCACCCTACAATGTCCCAAAACAAAAACTCCTCTAAAACATCCTGAGCTCTAAATCCTACACCCCTCAACTCGTAAAAACCCAAATCTCAAGTTCAAAGCCTCCTTGAGCATGCCCAAGCAACGCAGGGGGCTAACCTCTGAGCCCCTGCGATGGCTGCAGTAAAACATGAATCAAAGGAGTTCAGGGTTAAGTATTTAGGATTAAAAAAAAACGGGTACCCTTTGGCCCTTTTGTACTTTCATAATACTCAGTCCTTACCATGGGGACACCCACAACGGGACTGCCTCCTTTTTTGAACCCCCCCATAATCCTTTCGAGATTACAAATGGGCTTAGGATCTAAACCCTAAGCCCTAAACCTATAGTGTGCATGGTTAGTCTCAACCGGAAAACCTTAGGCTTGGCCCGCCAGTTCTGCTCGTGCTTGTGAAGAGATATGAAACATGTGTTTTCAAGATCAGGGTCCGATGTATGCCAGCCAAAAAGATAGAACCCTTCCTAACCCCCAGAAGTAGGTAAAATAATAGCCCTAAACAACCAAAAAATAGCCATAAAGGCCATTATTTCACATACTTTTGGGGGGTCCAGGTTAACCTTATACCTTCAGTTCAGCACAGAGACCTGATCTGAAGAAACCACCATGGCTTTTCGAAGCGAAACTAGGCTGCTAATTGCTTGCCTGAGCTCAAAGCTCTACCTATACTGGGCTGCTGTTCAGGAACCTAGCATAAGCTACCACGGCATACATATATATATATATATATATGTACACATACATTTTTCGTTCATATTGGCAACTTCAGGTAAGATCCTGAACACTCTGTACAATGCCATTTAAAGACCTGGTTCCATGTCATTTTCCATTTTGTTCTCTATTTGCTTCTGCATTGCGGTTGTCTACCTAAACCCTAAGCGCCAGACCCTAAATCCTAAACCCTGACTCCTGAACCCTAAACCCTACTTCCTCACTAAAACATTTCTAAAATACGAGCCCTGCAGCATGAATCCTAAACCAAAAATAGACCCAACACCTTAAATACTGGACCCTAAACCTTACAAGCCGTACAACCTAACCCTAAACCCTTCACCCTGAGCTAAACTCCCCGAAACCCTTAGCCCTGCGCATATCTTAGGAGGACTCCCCACCCTGTAATAGTGGTATAATAGGAAATATAAGAGGACCCTAATTTAGGGTTTAGGGTTTAGGGGTATACTAGGTATATAAGAGGACCCTAATATAATCCCTATTATCCCCCATAGTCACTATTACAGGGTGGGAGGTCCACCTAATACGTATATCCTGTCAGAGTCATGGCCATGCTATTAGCTCAGGAAGCTGCCGGACTCCGACGCAGATGACTCTCCGCCAGACATTCCTGTTTCCAGCAGCCGGCATGGGGGCAGGCATAGATAGGGCTTCGTAGGGGCTATGTAAGTAGACATTAAGGATTTAAGTTTCAGGTTAGAGGTTTCCAAAACATGGAGGTCCCTTTTTTCGGAGCCCAAACAGTTGTTTTGATTGCGTGCTTTTCTCATCTTGTTACAAAATCTTAGGCGAGAGCTCGATTTTGTGGTCAACATGTGAGGGGGCCCCACACGGGAGATCGTTTCGTGAGCCACAATCTGAGGACGCTCCACTCGAGAGCTTCATTTTTTAATGACGATGCCAGGAGATTCGAGGCGGGCCGTCCAATTTTGGGCAACATGCAGCGACACTTCACAAGAGAGCTCGTTTTTTGGAGACGATCCACGATAGTTTGATTTCCTTAGGGAGCCTTGGGCATGCCAGCTTCCACTCACTAATCAAGTTTCTAGTCAACTTCGGGACTTGGCCGATTATCACAATTCTGTGATTTGGCAAGTCAAGCGAGGACCGGTGGGGAGTCATGAAAAAGGCTTGCACTGGAGGCTTCTGTCGAGCATGTGTGCAGGAAAGCACCATTTTCAGCTAAGAGCAATGCCTTTCAGTGCTCCTAGCCCGCCTGCAGCGAAAACCCACTAGGCACCTCCTCTGCAGGGGGGTTGGCCGTAAATACATTTGCCATTGTTTTCTGGAACTGAGGCCACGGCAACACCCGTGTTGGGGGAGCCTTCCAAGGCGAAGGCGGTAGCAGCTAAACCAAGGCCATGAAATTGGCGGCAACGTGGACAAGGGACGAGCCCTGAGGCACATGATGTGCTCACTCACTGGAAGCGCGGCGTTGGCCTGAACAACTTCGCCAGAAGTGGCATGTCTGGGAACCTGAGCCCCAGATTTGCGCGCAACAAGAGTTTGCCGAGCAGCGCCGCATTCTCCAGACGAAGGAATTTTGAGCTCTGGCCCTCCTAGAGAAGACAAGTTGCAAAGGCAGGTCCAGACGCCAGGACGGCTCCCAATTTTCTCTCGGGCAACAGCCCGCAAGTCTTTTTAACCTGCTGGCCGGCTGTGACTGTTTCGGCTTGGGGGTTATCTTGACAGGGTGGTCCAGCAGAGGGAGGCATGCTCGCACAGGCCATTCGTGGAGGCTGGCACCCATAGCCGAGCAGGAGCATGTGACTGTTTTGATCTGGGGAAGGTGGGACAGAAAGCTGCTGACGCCAGTATTGCTGGACGTGCGGGCCACTCACCACACAGCGCCAGTCGTCAAAGGCTTTGACAGCTTGACCTCAGCATTTGCATCTCTTTGCGTTGGCAGAGGGCCACTGCGCGCTTTGGACTTCCTGGACGGTGGACCTTGTAGTGTGTCTTTAGTCTGGACGCTGGCAACAGCATCCAGACGTTGCCCCTGTCATCCTCATGGCGCTGTTGCTTGCCTTGCCCGAAATGCAGCCTTCCTTCCTCATGGCCGTCTCCTCCTCCAACACCCGCGGGTCAAGGACCTGGCCAGCTCCAGGCCAAACCTGAAAGTTTTGACCGTCGGCCTCCATGCGGTCAACTTTCCTGAGCATTGGCTGAAAGCAATAATGTTCACCTCATATTAATAAACCCCTGCGTAATTGCAAAATCCAAATCTCAGAACGTAATCACAAATCCCCCCACAATTGCAAAATCCAACCTGCCAAAACGCAAAAAATCTGGAAGCGCTCGAAGAGTACTGTGTTGCCCAAGGTTAGGAAAAGGCTACGACCACTGGAGTTCCAGCTCACGGTCCCGGAGTTTGTTGTGTTATATGCTTTGATATAGGTGCGATATGATTTCAAACGTGTACACACATTTCTGCAGAGGACTTCTTGAATGCTACAGCTGAGGAGCATGTGTATTTTGGCTGCGGATGCAACAACCAGTTAATTCTCATGGCCTTCGCGCCCATGTGGCTTGGGACCCCATGGATATGCAGGGATCATGATAGGCAAAGAGGGTCCTGTCTGTACATGTTCAAGTACTGCGCCTCCAAAAGGACACATATGCGACAACCAGGGTTCCTAAGGAACCCGAAATACTCTCATCGAAGCCTCGCATAGGGGCCAGTGCGAG